TTACCTGGATTCTTTGTTCTGTGAGACAGTGAAAGGTTTGTGAAATTAGCCTCAGGGCCCAACTTTGATTCCTGACTCTGACACTACTTTTCCCCAAGGGGTGGTGGTGGTAGTGGTGGTGCTGGTGGTGGCTGTGATGGTGGTGGTTGTGATGGTGGTGGTATTAGGTAAATCATCCTCCCCCCAATCCAGAGTCTTCCGTAAACAATGCTAAGGAGCAAGACTAGTTTGTAAGATAGACTCTTGAAAATGTAAACTAGCAAAAAGAAATTAAATACCGTTTTCTTCCATTTAAAAAAATGTTATAGAAAGGATTAAGGATCTGGCTCAGTTGGGGGAATGCTTGCTTAGCATTAGTCCTAAATTCCATGCCCAACAGGAAATAATCAAGGTGTAGTGGAGCAGGATTGCCAACCCAGCCTAAAGGTGGAGGCAAGAGGATCAGAAATTCAAAGTCATCTTCAACTATGTAGCAAACTTAAGGCCAACATGGGCTACAGGAGATCCTCTCTCAACAAGGAATATAATTATGTGTATATGGATACCTACATATGTATGACTATCACATGCTTATTGTACATGTTGTCAAAATACAGGAAACTAAAAATCATAAAACTCATTTGTAATCCTACCAATACAAGGCTTACTACTGTTAACATTTCAGTATTTTATTTGTATCTATTATATATTTTTTGTTCTTATTTTTAATTTGGCATTTATTGACTACATACCAGATTAATGACAGCATGTTAAGGATAGCACATTGCTTTTTTTTTTTTTTTTTTTTTTTTGAGACAGGGTTTCTCTGTGTAGCATTGGTTGTTCTGGACTAACTCTGCAGACCAGAATGGCTTCAAACTCACAGAGATCCACCTGCCTCTGCCTCCCAGAGTGCTCAGATTACAGGCATGGGCCACTATTGCTGGCTAGCACATTGCTTTTAACATTGTTTTCATTTTAAACATTTTTTATTACATTTATTTAGTCTGTGTGAGAGAGCACATGTGTATGCATGCACACATGTTAGCACGCACATGCGCACCTGCATGTTTGTATAGAAATGAGAATAGTTTGTGGGAAATGGTTCCCTCATTCTACTGTGGGTATTGAACTCAGGTCAACGGCCTTGGTGGCAAGTGACTTTATTCACTGTGCCATCTTGACAGCTCTTATTTGATTGATTGAGGGAGGGAGAGAGGGAAAGAGGGAGGGAGGGACTGACTGGCAGGTTGGTTGATTGATTGATAATGTGTGTTTCAGTGTGTGCACCATAGCGTGCTTGCAGAGATCAGAATGAAACTTGCTGGAATCAATTCTTTCCTCCTACTACGTGAAACTTGCGTTCTCAGGCTTGGTAGCAAGTATCTTTACCCACTCAGCCATCTTGCTGTCTCTATGTTTTGGTTATTTGAGACAGAGTCTTGCTATGTATCTCAAGCTGGACTCAACCTTGCAATTCTCATGTCTCACTCTCCCAACTGCTATAACACCACACCCAGTTATTTATATATTTTAAATTAAAATGGAATCATACTGTACATAACCACTTTATAACTTGTATTTTTCATATAAAATGTCTATTTTACTTTTCAATGTTAATGAGCATCCTTTGAAAACATGATTTTTTGAAAGGTTCCGTGTTCTCAAAAAAAAAAAAAAGGAAAGAAAGACTCCTTATGTCTTCTAGTCAATGAATATGCAATAATTTATTTAACCAGTCTTTTGTTAAGTATATAGATTGTTTACCTTTTCACATTATTATCAATATACTCTCTTTAAAAATATTCTAAAATTCACTTGTTTTATTTTATGTGTGTGGGTACTTTGCCTATACATGTATACACACACACACACACACACACACACACACACATATATGCACACCAAATGTGTGCCTACCTGGGTGCTGGGAACTAAACCTGGGATCCCTGTAGGGGTAGTCAGTCCTTTTTTGGGGGGGGAAGAGGTGAAATCACCATTTGGCTGCAGCCAATGCTAATTAATCCCTGAGCCATCTCTCTAAACCAAATATAATTTTATATTAATAACCTTTGCACATACCTAATTTTAGAAACCCCTAGATCAGGAGGTCATATATCAAATTTCATGACTGATAATTTCAAATACATACAAAGGTAAGCAGTTAAACAAACCACAGTCTTTGTTTTGTTTGAACTGAGTCTCATGTAGCCCGTGCTGACCTCAAACTCACTAAGTAGCTGAGGATGTCCTTGAACTTCTGATTCTCTTGTGTCTGTCTTCCTCCCAAGTGCTAGGATTAGAAGTGTGCATCACCACATCCTACTCAAGCCCCAAGCTTGTTTCACCTATGTCTTAAACTATTTCCTCCTTACTGATAGATTTGTGTGCTGGGGACTAAACCCAGGGCCTCTCTCGTATGCTCAGCATACATTCTATCATTAAACTGTCACTACAGTCCCATAATGTATCATTTCTATTAAATTATTTTATTTTATTTTATTTTATTATACTGGGCAGTGCAAGGCTATTTTCATACCATTATGTAATGTGCTTTATCTAATACTCCACTACCATCCCTTTCTCTTCCTGTCCTAGAATGGATATTTAAATTTTTCCACAGTTTCAAAGTATAATATACTTTGATCATATTCTCCCCATTACTGTCTCTTATCCCCTTCCCTCTCCCATTGAACTCTCATTCTTCTCCACAAGTCTCTCCTACTTTCAAATCTTCCTTTGTGTGTGCTCCACTTTGTTTCATTATACTTGCTTGCATGAACATGGGTTGGGGGTTATTTTCGTGAACAAGGACAACTTAACAGTGCCTATACCACTGAGTAATATAACTTTCCTTCACCTAACAAGTGTTAACTGCCTATACCTCCTCAAGGAAAGGTGGAATCTTACAAGTCTCTACTCAGTGAATGATGCAATGTTGATAGGCCCAGTCTTGTGCAGATATTTTCATGCAGGTATCACTGCTGCTCTAGGTTTATGAGTGCAACAGTCCTGTTATATCCAGAGGACAGCATTTCACAACACTTCTACCTATCCTCTGATCTGACATTCTGTTTGTTGGCATGTTTTTTCAAGACAGGGTTTCTATGGGTAGACCTGGCCGTCCTGGATCTCACTTGGTAGAACTAGGCAGGAACTCAGAGATCCACCTGCCTCTGCCTCCTGAGGACTGGGACTAAAGGTGTGTGCCTCCACTGCCTGGCTACTGTGACATTCTTTCAGTTCCTTCTTCTCCAGTGGTCCCTGAAACTTTTGGGAATATAAGTAGATGTCCCATTTAGGACTGAGCACTCACAGTCACTTGGCACTTTGACTAGTTATGAGTCTCTGTATTAGCTGTTACCCACTGTGGACAGAATCTTCTCTGACAAAAGCTGAGAACAGCACTACTCTATGAATAGAAATGTAAATATTTAGAAGGCAGTTTGATACCATGACCATAATGGATCTTTTTATGTGCATGAACGTTGACCTGAATATTTGTATTGCACCATGTGTATACCTGGTGCCTTCAGAGACCAGAAGAGAGCGTTCACTACCTTGCAACTGGAGGTAGTGCATTGTTCTGTGTATGCTGGGAACTGAATCTAGGTCTTTGTAAAAACAACAAGCCCCTTAAATACTGAGCTGCTTCTCCAGACCACCTAGTGGATAATTTTAAAAGTAAATCCTGGAAAGCATATAATTTTGGAATGCATATTTTAACATGTGCAATTTCATCATATAAAAATTCTAAATGCAGGTGTGGTGGCTCACACCATTAATCCCAGCACTTGGGAGGCAGAGGCAGGCGGATCTCTGTGAGTTTGAGGTCAGCCCAGTCTACAAAGTGAGTCTAGGAGAGCCAAGGCTACACAGAGAAACTCTGTCTCAAAAAACAAAACAAAAAATTCTATGGCTCAGCAGCTAAGAGCACTGGCTGCTCTTCCAAAGGATCTGCCTTTGATTCCCAGAACAAACAGGGCAGCTCACAATTGTCTAACCCTGGTACCAGGAAGATCCAATGTTTCTTCTGGCCTCTGGATATCAGGCACTCACCTGGTGCACAGACATACATGCAGACAAAACACCAATGCACATAAAAATAAATTTAAAATATTTAATTCCATAAACTGCAAACAATCAAACCAGACAAATCCAAGCACCCTGGAGTCAGAAGCAGGAAGAGAGAGAATTCCAGGATAGCCTAAGATGTGTACCCAGACCCTTTTGAATAAATAAACAAGATTGGCTTAGTGACAGGAAGTATGTCAATGGACCTCTGGGAACAGATGGAGGAAGCAGTGACCTGTGAAGGAGCATGAGCAAAGTTTTTAGGAAAACAGATATGTCCTGTGTCTTGACTGTGTGGATGGTCTCAGGGGTCATTACATATGTCAAAATTCTCGTAATTGTATAATTTAAATGAACACAGTCTAGGAGGATAGCTACAAGGTAGGATGCTTCCTTAGCATATGTGAAGCCCTAGGTATATTTAATTTATTATTATTTTTTTTAGTTTTACTTTTGTTTTATGTGTGTGAGCTTGAGAGGCAGAAGGATAGTGTGGTGGCTTGAATAGGAATGACCCCCGTGTGTTTTCATTCTTGGCCCATAGGAAGTGGCACTATTAGAAGGTGTGGCCTTATTGGAATAGGTTTAGTTTTGTTGGAGGAAGTGTTTTGCAGTGGAGGCAGGCTTTGAGGTATCTTATGCTCAAGCTCTGACCAGTATGGGACACAGTTTCCTGCTACTGCCTGTTGATCAATATGTAGAAGTCTCAGCTCCTCCAGCACCATGTCTGCCTGGATACTGTCATGCTTCTTGCCATGATGACAATGGTCTAAACCTCTGAAACTGTAAGCCAGCCTCAATTAGATGTTTTCCTTTATAAGAGTTGCTGTGGTTACAGTGTCTTTTCACAGCAATGAAATCCGAAGAGAGATAGCCATGAGTTTGAAGTCAGTCTCAAATACAGAGTAACCCTTTCTCAAAAAAAAAAAAAAAAAAAAAAAGGAGCATTTCTTTTGGCAGCACATATTCTAAAACTGAAATGATATGGAGAATAATAGCACAGCCACTATGTAAGGACATCATAAAAATTCATGAAGAGTTCCAGATAGATGGACGGATAGATAGATAGATAGATAGATAGATAGATAGATAGATAGATAGATAGATAGGTTTTTCAAGACAGTGTCTCTCTATGTAGCCCTTTCTGTGCTGGAACACACTCTGAAAACCAGTCTGGCTACTAACTCAGAGATTTGCCTGCTTTTGCTTCTTGAATGCTAGGATTAAATGCATGTGCCACCTCCTTCTGGAAAATACACATGTATACTTTTTAAAGAAGGATGTCTGCTCTAAAGGAACTCTTTTTAGATTTATTTTATTTTATGTCTATGGTTGTTTTTGCCTTCGTGTGTGTCTCTGCATCAAGTATGTGCCTGGTGCCCATGGAAGCCAGAAGAAGTTGCCAGATCCCCAGGAACTGGACTTATAAAGAGTTGTTAGCTGTCCCGTGGGTGCTGAAAACTGAACCGAGATCCGTGGAAGCTGTAGTTACAAAGAGCTGTTAGATGAAAGGGAAGCAAGTGCTTTCAATCACTGAGCTATCTCTCCAGCCTTAGTTCCATATATTTTTAAGCAAATAAATAAATAAAGCTTATTTTCAAAGACTTTCCTAAACTCTGACCCTGACTATAAATGAAACAAATAAATATTAAAAATGTATAGCTCAGTATTTAAAATTGCAGTTCTTGAGTAGGGAGTGCAGCTCAATTGGTATAGTCCTGCCCTGGAATGGACTAAGCTCTGGATTTTCTCCCTGTTTAACTCTGCTAAAACTGGAGATGGATTCCATGCCTGCAATCCTGGCACTTGAGAAATGGAGGTCATCTTGGCTACACAGCGAGGGTAAGATCCGCCTGGGCTATAAGCACAGCATATCTCAAAAAGCCAAAGGAGAAACAAAGGATAGATTTCTACAGTCATGTTGCAATTTTTCTAGTTTATTATCTATTTGTTTTGTTTCATTTTTAAACTTTGTTGTTATAATGTGATTGTGTGTGCACTAGATTATATTTGCATGGATGTCAAAGAACAACTTTGTGGAGTTCAAGTTTCTACTTCTACATGGGTTCCAAGGATTGATCTTGGTTCATTAGGATTTTGAATCTAGTGGCCTTACTTTCCGGGTCATCTGGCTGGACCTCTTTTGATTTGTTTTTGCTTTGTTTTGTTTTGTTTTTTTGAGACAGGGTCTTGCTACATAGCTAAGGCTGCTCTCAAATTCACTGTAGCACAGGTTGCCCTTGAATTCAAGATAATCCTCCTGTTTCAGCTTTTTAAATCCTGGGATTATAGGTTTGCCCCACCACTCCCAGTGTATTGGCTATTACAATTTATAATAAACCAGTCGTGGTGTCACACACCTTTAATCCCAGCACTAGGGCTGCAGAGGCAGGCAGGTCTCTGTGAGATTGAAGCCAGCCTGGTCTACAAAGTGAGTTCTAGGACAGCCAGAGCTGTTACACATAGAAACCTTATCTCAAAAAGCATTAAGAAATGAATTTATTATAAACTGCCAATTGGTGTCCTCTAACTGGATTTATAGGAGGTGCTCATCTTTTCCTTGTGAACTTGTAAGACTTTTTCTACTTTTTTTTTTTTTATTAAAATGTTCTTGACTGCCAGGCCATAGTAGTGCACGCCTGTAATCCTAGCACTTGGGGAAGCAGAGGCAGGGGAATCTCTATGAGTTTGAGGCCAGCCTGGAATACAAAGTAAGGACAGCTAGAGCTATACAAACCCTGTCTCAAAAAACAAAAACAAAAATAAAAATGCTCTGAGATGGAGAGATGGCTCAAAGGTTAAGAGCTCTTGCTACTCTTATAAGAGAACTTGAGTTCAGTTCCGAGCACCCATGTTAGGTGGCTTATGACTGTATGTGACTCCAGTTCTAGGATATTCAACACCCTCTTCAGGATTTTGTGAACACACATACACCAATTTTAATAAAAAGATGTTTTAAAAACTAGAAAGATGCTTCAGTGTAAACAGTCTGAGTGCATACAGTCCTGAAGAGGACTTGAGTTTGGTTCTCGTCATTCACATCAGTGGACCCACAACAAACCACCTCTATGAATGAACTCCAGCTCCAGGTCTGATGTGATGCTTCTGACCTTCACAGACACTCACATATATGTGCATCTACCCACACACCATGCATCATATACATAATTTTAAAAGGTTTTATGTTTTTACATAGCCAAATCTATTTCTTCCCTCATTGTCCCTTCATTTGCCTTTATGCCTAAAACTTTTGCTATTTCCAAGATCAGAAGCATAATTTTAAAATTTTTATTTATTTATTCACTTTACATCTTGATTCCAGTTCCCCTCCTCCCTCACAGTCCCTCCTCTCACACACCCCTCTTCCCCACTTTCCTTTCTTCTTCTCCTCAGAAAAGGTCCTCCATGGGTACCAATCCACCCTGGTGCATTAAGTTGTTGCAGAACTGGGCACATACTCTCTCACTGAGGCCAGACAAGGCAGCCCAGTTAAGGGGATGAGATCCAAAGGGAGGCCTCAGAGTCAGAGAGCGCCCCTGCTCAAGTTGTTGGGGGATCCACATGAAGACCAAGCTGCACATCTACAACATATTTCATCCCTCATTGTCCCTTCATTTACCCTTATGCCTAAAACAACTTTCCCTACTGATCTTGGGATCAGAAGCATTTTTTTTTTGAGACAGGGTTCTCTGTGTAGCTTTGGCTGTTCTGGAACTCACTCTGTAAACCAGGCTGGCCTCAAACTCACAGAAATCTCCCAGTTGAGGCCATTCTTGATCACTTTAGGACACAGTAGACAGCAAGCATTAGCTTTTATTTGAGACAGGGTCTCAAGTAGCTCAGACAGGATTTGAATTCACCAGGCAGATAAGAATGACCTTGAACATCTGGTTTTCATGTCTCCAACCTCCTAAGTGCTGGGATTGCAGGCATTTCCCACCATATCTGGTTTATGGGGTGTTAGGGATCAAACTTAAGACTCGGTGATGATAAGTGAACACTCTGCAAACTGAGTTACATCTCCAACCCAAGAACAGCCTTTAAAGTCAAAGGAAGCCAAGCCACAGCTTCACCTTTTCCTAACCAGCTGTATGATCAAAGGCATCTTCAACTTCATCTATAAAATGGGGATATTAAGGCCTATGTGATGGTTCTGAAAGTAAAGATACTGGCCACCAAGCCTGATATGAATTTAATCCTGATGGCCCATGTAGTGAAAGAAGAAAACTGATTCCCAAACATTGTCTTTTGGTCTCGACATGTGTGATATGGTTCACCTCCATAAACAAATAAATAAATGTAAATTTTAATGGGGTTATACTAGCTGAGCATAGTGGCACACACCTGTAATCCCAACACTTGGGAAGTAGAGGCAAGAAAATCAGTGGTGTTTTTTTTTTCTTTATTGTTTGTTTGGTTTGATTTGGTTTTATGAGACAGGGTTTCTCTGTGTAGCCCTGGCTGTCCTAGAACTCTCTCTGTAGACCAGGCTGGATTTGAACTCACAGAGCTCCACCTGCCTCTGCCACCCAGGTGCTGGGAGGTGCACCACCAGCACTACTACCACCATGCTGAGGATCAATTTTTCAAGATTATTCTCAGCTACATATTGTTTTTCAGGACAGCCTGGGTTATATGAGACCCTGTCTCAAACTCGCCCCACCCCCAATTAAGATATTAATAGCGTGCAACTTATAGAATTGTTTTAATGATTAAATAACGTATGTAGAGCAGCCAAGTAGGCACCTCACATGTAATTAGTGTTCAAGAGCAGTAGCAAGCTGAACATGGTTGCCCATGTCTGTAAGTCCGCTGTTTAAAAGACTTAGGTAAGAAGATCTAGTTAGCTCAAGTCCAGAATGTGCTACAAAACAATACCTTGTCTTAAAAAAAAAGTAAGTCAGCAACTGGCAAAGGCACATACCTTTAATCACAGCACTTGAGAGGCAGAGACAGACAGATTTTTGTAAATCTGAGTTGAGGCCAGCCTGGTCTATATAGTCAGTTCCAGGCTAGCCAAGGCTACATAGTGAAACCATGTCTGAAGAAAAAAAAAGGTCAGCAACTATAATTTACAGTCTGAGGTTTTATTTAAAGATTTATTTGTATTATTTTAAATTAAGTGTGTGAGGAGAGTATTAGTGCATGGGTACATTCATAGGTGGCTCAGATCTCAGTGGAGCTGGAGTTACTATAGTTGTGAAACTACCCAATGTGAGTGCTTGGAACCAAACTCAGGTCCAGCAACAGCTGTAATGCTCTACCCACTGAGCCATCTTTCCAGCACTGATATTCCTGGTTTTAGTTGCTCAGTATCCCAATGCCTTCATGATTTAAAGTACATCCACTGGAGGCCAGGTCAAAAATGTTACTCAGAGCTTACTAGCCAGATGCTATAGCTCCCCCTGGACTTTGGGACTTTAGTGTTACAATGCTTCAAGGTAGAACAGCAATGAATCCTAGAGGTATCTGTGTCCAGGTATCCAGCATAGCAGTAAGTCTCTGGAGGGGACCCTAGTGTCATGGCATCCAGGCCTGTGACACTGACCTTAGTATGTCTTAGCTTTCATTACGTGTAACGGCAATGTTTGCTTTGGCAGCACATGTACCAAAATTGGAACATAGAATTTAGTATGACCCATATCCAAGAATGACAAGCAAATTTGTGAGGCATTTGGTATTTTCATTACTTTGTACACTGTTAAAAACTAACTTTTCAAAGTATAAAGACAGACACCTGTGGAACTGCCTAAGTAAAAGTAGTCATCCCAATCAATTTCTTGAGAAATAATTGAATGTGAAATAATATGAATGCGGAGGATGGGAAACAGGTGGTTCTGTAATTGTCTTTGCTAAAGGACTTCTGTCGTTAAAGGCATTGCTGAAGTGGTCGTGGGTAAAGAACAAAGGAAACAGTAGGCCTGGGAGCCTTGAAAAAGCAACAGAAATCTACATAATGAACAATTATGTGATCACTAAGATAATGTTTACATATATCAATGAAGTTACTGTTGTCATTTTAAGTTAAAAAGCAAGCTATAAAATTATGTA